ATAACTTGTTTGTAATACGCTCGTCGCCCAATTTAATAAGCACTTATAGATTTACAGTATGTATTTATAATAAATAAATAATCTATTTGAATTGATTTAAAACAATTATTGATTATTTTCATTCCTCGAATATTTAATTATGGTACGGGATGTTCCAGCAATTTGCCTTAAGGAAACTTGGCAAATTTCTGGAATTATTATCGTGGAGATTATTTAGGACTTCTGCAGAGTAGAGTCTACATGCAAAAATCCATTGTAGGCTTTATTTCCAATCTTGTGCATTTAGGCAGTATTGCGTTTGATACTCATTATAGACTTTATAATTATACATTTGCTATAGTAGGTTTTGTAGCATAGTTTTGTAGGTAGTGAACCTACAGATCTTGTTCTACAGGTTTGTGGTAGAACTCTAGTTCTACAGGTTTGTGGTAGGTCTTGTAAATATAGACTTCATTGTAATGATTAGTACTACTGACTTGCTAGAAATACGTACCGTGAATGAAATATGCAATTGCCCCAATTTTCTTTAATAACCCAATCGATTCATTGACAAGAAAAATTTACTACATTTTCCTAATTGGAAAAGCGCCAAGAAATCTCAGGAGGAGTTTATTGTTTTATGTCTTATCTATTTCTCTGTCTGTTCGCCGTCAACTAATAATATCTTGGCTTTTATATGTTTGTACATATGTTTGGGACCACTTTTAGAAAAATGTTGTTTAAAAGTTTTTTTCTAGGTGAGTGTTAGAGCCTCACACTTGCAACCACACGGTTTCCAATTCAAATCCCCGTTGCTTGCAGTCTGATGTCAAGCACTAATGATAGGGTAGAGCGGCTTAAGGGACCGCGGGTATAAAGGTCCACCACCGATATATTGAAAACCAGTGAGGTTAAGAAGTTTTTAACAATATTTGAAAGTAGCGGGCAAAAATCACGATAATGTTTGAAAATACATAACAAAAATATTTTCATTCGTTGTTAGCTTTTATAAACTTTTAAGTTTGTGTTATTTAATTATTTTATAAGATATATAGCTAATTTGAAGTTAGATTCAACAGATGTTTTTATATAACCTCTCTAATTGCTTACATTTAAATGGGGTAAAAGGACCAACTAAACCCTTACCCTGACAAAGGCGTGAAAAATAAAAAAGTAAATGAAGTTAAAAAATATCAATTTTAAAAGAAATAAATAAAATAATAGTTATTTCAAGTCTGCTGTTAAATGCTTCTAACCAAATATCAGATCATGTAGCTAGTATTTCGTAAAATCCCTTAAAAATTAAACATAAGCCATTCAATTTGTTTGGGGTAAAAAGGGACTTATAACAAATTTTATTAACTTAAAACAAATATGTTATTTGTTGTGATGTAGTTCATTTAGACAGTATAATGATCTAAACCATATATACTTTCAAAATAAATCAAAAATATGTTTTTAAGTAAAATAGCTCTGCTTTAGTGCATAAACGTTAAAATATCTTCTCTATTAGAAAAGATATTTGTAATAAAATATATCAAAACTAGAATACGACAAATATTGGGTTGCTTTTTAATAGCTGTTAGTGTAATTAGTGATCATAAAACATAATTACAAAAGCTTTTAGAATTGTTCGGACGTCTTTTCGGTTTATTATATTGGCCATGAAATTTACAAAACTTCAGGGCATTAAGCTTTATACGGAATGGTTGCTACCCCTGGTAGAGGGGGGTAGCGGGGTTTTAAGGAACGAGTCGTGCTGTTCTAAAAGGGAAGCCGACTTAACCACATGTAACTAACCTATACGCATAAATATATTTTTCTTCATTAATACTTAATAATACATCAGTTATTGTGATTAGAACTGCAACAAATACAGAATATAAAATTAAATCAGTTTTTAATACAGTCCACAGCGACAAAGGTTAAATAATAACCTAACAACCTGAGTGATCGAAGAAGAAGAGTTTTAGTAAATTCTTGAAATACGCACAAATAAACATTTTGGTACTTCGAACCGTATCGTGAATTACAAGCAGTTAATTAAAGTACAATAGTGATAACAAATTTCTAAGTGTTGTGAAGAAGAAACATTCCAAAGCGGCTAAACTTTATAACCACGTGGCGGTCAGACCAGAGCAAACAAGGGAACGAAGGCTGAGGACAATTACAACATCTACACACCTGTATTACAAGTAAGTCTGTTTTCATTCCTTTCATAATATCCCAATAATTTCACATATTGCTCGGTTGTGTTTAATATTGTATTCAAAATGGCGGAACTTAAAGCGAAGCGTGGATTCATTAAATCCAAATTGACGCGAGTGCAAAATTTTGTAAATTCATTAGATTCCACAATACTAGATGAAAATATAATTATTGAATTAAATACCAGACTCGAAAAGATATTACCAATTATTGATGAATTTGAAACGATACAATATGAAATTGAATTAATTGAGGGTGTATCAGAAGGCGATAAGGAATCTTTCGAAAATGATTATTATAGAACAATAGCTAAATTAAAATTTATAATTCAAAATTTCAATGACACGAAAAAATGTAAAGACGATCAGCAAACAATAGGGCCGTCTAGCATTGATTCGTATACAAATATCAAAAATATTAAATTGCCTACAATTAAACTTCCCACGTTTGATGGAAGTTACGATAAATGGTTAGAATTTCATGATTCATTTAACGCTTTGGTGCATAGCGACAATACTTTAAGCAAAATTCAAAAATTTTATTATTTAAAATCATCATTAGAAAAAGATGCCAAAAATAGCATTGCAGCTATAGAGGCATCCGATTCTAATTATGATATAGCATGGCAAATTTTAAAAGACAGGTTTGAAAATAAACGGTTAATCATACATAATCACATAAAGGCAATTTTTGATAGTCCGAAATGTAGTCGCGAATCTCATTCAGAATTAAGAACGTTATTAGAAACGATTTCTAGGCATCTACGCTCATTAGAGTCATTAGGCGAACCCACAGATAAATGGGACACAATTATTATATTTATATTCACAAATAAATTCGATACGCGTACGTTACGGGATTGGGAATCCTTTACCTGTAGCAAAGAAAAGCCGACGTTGACAGATATTAATAATTTTATTAAACAAAAATGTGATATGTTAGAAAAATTATCCACAAATATTAGTAGTAAACCTTTTCCTAATAATATTAATAAATCTGTGGCTCAACACATAAAATACAAGAGCACAAATAATAATCATAATCCATCAATTAATTATCTGTCAACGGGGCGGCAAACTTGCTATTTATGTGAAGAAAATCACTCCTTATATTACTGCAAGCAATTCAAAGCGCTATCTATTAAAGATAGGATAAGTAAAATCGAAGAATTGAATTTATGTATAAATTGTTTCAAGCGAGGGCATAAGGTAGACGTTTGTTTAGCATTTCCGTGTAAAATATGCAAAATGAAACATAATACATTGGTTCATTTTGAAGAGACTAATACAATTCCTAGCACATCGGGTTCAAATATGACGGTTGCTAATTATTCGACAAAAAATATTAATACAAAATTACAGTCACAAGTAATTTTAGCAACAGCTGTTATAAAAGTAGAAAACTCGAGCGGAGAGTTCATAGAATGTCGGTGTCTTTTAGATTGCGGGGCACAAAGTAATTTTATTACGGCAGATACCTGCAAAAGGCTAGGTATAAAACTAGACAAAACAAATTACACAGTTATGGGCGTCGGGCAGATAGAGACCAATATTCGGTTCTCAACAAATATTAATTTTAAATCTACAAATAACTCATTTAAATCCAATATAAATTGTTTAGTGCTAGAAAAAATAACAGAACCACTTCCATTAGTTTCCATAGGTAACAATTTTAAAATTCCGACAAATATTTTCTTAGCTGATCCGGAATACAATAAGACGCGGAATATAGATATACTTTTAGGGGCAGATATGTTTTGGAAACTTTTATCTGTAGGTAGAATTAAATTAGGTGATAACGCACCGATTTTACAGAAAACTTTATTAGGTTGGATATTAGTTGGGTCGTTTTCTCCGAATTGCACAAATTCAAAACATTCAACAAATTTATTAGCATTGAATAATTATAATATTAATAAACAATTAGAGAAGGTTTCCGAAGTAAAAGATATTAAAAACAACAATTATAAAAAGTTAACAAAACACGAAACATTTTATGAAAATCGTTTTATAACAAATTTCAAACGCGATTTTACAGGTAGATTTATAGAAAAAAATCCTTTTAAAAATAAATTACATTTAGAAGATTTGAAAACTCGTCATATACAAAGATTTATGTCACGTAAACATAAATTCCAAGAGAATAGTTTATTAAAAATTAATTGTGTAAATTTTATTAATGCATATAGTAAGTTAAAACATATGTCTGAAGTTAGTAATTTTAATATTAAGTCAATTAGTCAATATTTCTTGCCACATCGCACAGTAAGGAATAAATATAGTTTAAAAACAAAAACGAGAGATGTTTTTCAAAGTTCGGGAAAGTCTTCAAGCGCCTTGCCAATGTGTGATGTTCATTATACGGGAACGTCAATTCGAAATGACTTATTTACAAAAATGTTAAGATTTAGAATGCCTATATATGCTTCATTAGGCGATACTTCAAAAATTTATCGGCAAATAATAATTAATGAAAACGGTAGACAAATTCCAACAGATAATTCAAAAACTTGTGAATTAAATACGGTCACATATGGTACAGCACCTGGATCATTTTTAGCTATACGTTATCTTAAACAATTGGCAAAATAAAATAAAATTTTATTCTTCTGCTTACAACACAACATAATTAACATAGATTTTATTTAAATGACCTTTATGCTGCCTCAAAATATTACAATTTTGAATTCTTTAGATAATTTAAATTTTAATGACAAAAACATACAAGAAACAAGAGCAATTAATTTATTAGTCACCAATGTAGAATTTAATTTATTTTCTCGGTTTTCGACATTGCGAAAATTACAATCAACAATGGCATATGTAAATAGATTTATTACGAATTGTAGACTTAAAAAAAATAAGTATAAACGGAAGTTTGGACCACTTACAACACAAGAATTAGATCAAGCTTTTAAGGTATTGATAGTAATTGCACAAAAACAATCTTTCCAATTAGATTATAATAAACTTGTCAATTCTAAATCGCTCAGTAAAGAGAGCAGAATTTTATGTTTAAATCCTTTTATGGATAATTCGAAAATTATACGAGTAAGCGGTCGATTAAGAAACACAAATTATTCATTTGATAAAATTAATCCTATAATATTATGCTCAAAACATAAATTAACTACGTTAATATTACACCAAGAGCATCACCGATTACTTCACTGTGGTGCTCAACAACTTCTCGCAAGTATTAGAGAACGATTTTGGCCAATTTCTGGACGTAACGCTTGTAAAGAAATTATTCGGAAATGCGTTACTTGTTTCAAAGCAAAACCATCGTCAAATGATTATCTAATGGGAAATTTGCCTAGTAGTAGAGTTAATCAAGATTTTCCATTTAACAATGTCGGCCTTGATTATGCTGGACCGTTTATTATCAAAGATCGAATAACACGCGGTGCCAAATTTATTAAGGTTTATATTTGTATTTTTATTTGCATGTGCACCAAGGCTATTCATTTGGATCTGGTCTGCGATTTATCGACAGAATCTTTTTTACAAACATTAAAACGATTCATTGCTAGAAGAGGTCTTCCTAGTAATATATTTTCAGACAATGCAACAACATTCGTTGGAGCAAACAATCATTTAAAAGATTTATATAAATTTCTATTAGAATCTAACGAAGAGATTAGAAGTAAATTAATAAGTCAAAATATTAGCTGGCATTTTATACCAGCAAGATCTCCTCATTTCGGCGGACTGTGGGAAGCTGGAGTAAAAAGTTTAAAATACCATCTTCGTAGGGTGTTACGCGAGACAAAACTATGTTACAATTCAATGTATACATTATTAACACAAATCGAAGCAATTTTGAATTCTCGTCCCTTAACTCCCTTATCCTCTGATCCATCTGATCTCAATCCACTAACTCCAGCGCATTTCCTGATCGGCAGATCATTAACATCACTTCCAGAAAATTCACTTTCCCACATCCCAGAAAACAGACTAACAAAACTCCAGCATCTTGAAAAGCTAAGGCAGCATTTTTGGACAAGATGGCACAAGGAATATCTAGGAGAATTACAATCACGGACCAAATGGAGAAGACCAATGGAACAAGATAATCTTATAGGCAAACTGGTGCTTATAAAAGATGACAATCTACCACCATTAAAATGGCGTCTTGGACGGATAACAGACATACACCCAGGCAATGATGGTGTCGTACGGGTTGTTACACTGAAGGGCCCCAATGGAGAATTAAAAAGGGCACTAAACAAAGTGTGCATTCTACCAATCAATAATGAAATATCTTAAGTTTATATAATATTAAGAAATATAAGTTAAATAATTTTAGATTAGATTGTCATGCAAATCATTATTACATTGTTAATCAATTTTTATACTCGTAAAATCTTTATACAATTTTTATACTTAATGTTAGTTCAAAATCGCTATGTTTATCTTTTTAAAAGCTGTAGCTTTTCAAGGCGGCCGGCATGTTCGGACGTCTTTTCGGTTTATTATATTGGCCATGAAATTTACAAAACTTCAGGGCATTAAGCTTTATACGGAATGGTTGCTACCCCTGGTAGAGGGGGGTAGCGGGGTGTTTTAAGGGAACGAGTCGTGCTGTTCTAAAAGGGAAGCCGACTTAACCACATGTAACTAACCTATACGCATAAATATATTTTTCTTCATTAATACTTAATAATACATCAGTTATTGTGATTAGAACTGCAACAAATACAGAATATAAAATTAAATCAGTTTTTTAATACAGTCCACAGCGACAAAGGTTAAATAATAACCTAACAACCTGAGTGATCGAAGAAGAAGAGTTTTAGTAAATTCTTGAAAATACGCACAAATAAACAAGAATATCAAAAATTCTGTTTGCTGGTCAAACACAAGAAGTTGTATATTTAAATTTATTATATTTAGCATGGAATTTTTTGGATACCCATAAGTTAATGTGCAATTGTTGACTGATTTATGCGACAGAAAATTCAAAACAATTTTCGAGTTTATACTTAATTATTTTTATTATTTGTATAGATAGTGATGGAGTACAATATAAATATACATATTGTTGTATAATAATAAGGCAAACAACATACATATGTAAGAAAAAGATTACAAGAAAATATTTCATTTTTTTTAAATTATTGGCCACCGCTTTACAGCATTTTTACCCACCTGCATTATTCATATTATTTTTCATCATATTCTATACAATTTTTACATATATATATTTCCTATATATTTATCATATATATATATATATATACTATCTCTTCTTATATCCTAATCTTCTATTCAATTTTCTTTCTTAAATTCCATTCAATTTTTATTCTTCTTCTTGTTTCTCAATATGTTCTCCTCATCTTCTAAACTAAACTTCTTTTTTCCCTTCTTAGTTCCAATACATTTTTTTCTTGTATTCTACAAATTAACAATTTTTAATCTAGTTTAATATTTTATATTTAACTTCCCGTAGGGTAAGTTATTGTAATGGGCCGAAAATCGGAATTGAAAATTTTCACATTTCACGACGTTTTGAAGGTTTCTGAACATTTTGGCATACCTCAGAAAAAATGGATGTGTGTGTGTGTATGTATGTATGGATACAAATTTCCAGTCACGTTTTCGGGCGCACGGATCAACCGATTTGAACGGTTCAAAAAACATTCGATTTCTATCGATAGGGAAAAGAGCTGATTAGTTTTTGGCAAAGGCAGGTTCAGCCGTTTCGGGGATAAGGAGCAAAGAGTGCAGAAAATAGAAATCGACTTTTTGAGAGAACGGAGTATCCGATTTGAATGATATAAAAAACATTCAATTAGTAATGATTGCGAGAAGTGTTTATTAGTTTTTGGCAAAGGCAGGCCCAGCCATTTCAAAGATATGGAGCTAAATATGTAAAAAATGGCAGTTTTTGAGTGAACTAAGCGTCCGATTTGAATGATTCAAAGAACTTTATGCTTGTCTTAACAAAATAATTGATTTTGGAAAAAAAAATTGTTTCAATTTTTTTTGTATATCAAAAATAATTCAGATTTTATTTTTAATTCTGACTATAGTTCTAATATACTTTAAACAAATAATTTCAACTTTGCAATTCAGTTTATATAATTCTTATAAGTATTAGACAATGTTACAATATTTATAATAATCTATTTGAAAACATTCAGTATTCCTCGAACATTTTGTTGCGGTACGGGAAGTTCCAGCAATTTGCCTTAAGGCATGATGCCACCCACCCCACTATTTAATTCTGGTATTGCTGGAGATTCGAACCGAATTCCTCCGAAGCGTGTGAGTCGAGAACGCTACTGAGTGAGCTATTCCCGCCACAAAAATATTTCATATTGCGAATGATATCCCTACTGTTTAAATATAATTTGCACTTGACTGTATATTTGTTTGTTTGTTCGTTCAAAACATATATAAACGATTTCTATTCTTAAGCAGAGAGGAACACTTCCAATGCCAACTTCAAAAACTGTGTGTCTATGTAAGCCAAGCATTACCTATTTAAATTTATACAAAACAAAATTCGGCAGAAAGTGCCCACACGTGCAGAGATTTACTGATTTTAATTTTTAGGCATTTAGAAATTAGCATATAATAACAATATGACATGACAAAAACGCGTTCTCTTTAAATATTACAGCATGCTATTTTTTTACAATTTTATATAATAGAATATTCAAGTTGGACTTGAAAATTAAATTGCAATAGTAATTTTATATTTAAAATATCTGCAAACTGTTTTTTTCATGGCCCAATGCCACAGTACTTCACAAGTGCGCTTTTGAAATTCAGGTGTTTTAAATCTTTTTCGGATAGATTATTACAACTGAATATAGCTAAAAAACTAGTGGTGCATGGCATCGTAAAATTTTTTGAAAACTTTGTAAAAAATAGATTTTGGCGAATTTTGAAAGTTTTGAAAAAAGGGCGTTTTTGAAGAATTTCACTTTTTATATTGTGATTTTTTTTGAAAATTTCGATTTTTTTTCAAAGTAATTACGCTGTGTAGCTGTTCTAGAGTCGATATCGAAGCGCGTAAGCGCCGCGTATCAGAAACATTATAATTGTAAACAAAATTTGTACTTATAATTAAAATCTCTATAATTTTGTTTGAAATGTCTAATTTTTTTCACGTTTCTTTAAACGTTTAACGCCATCACGTTTCTTTTACATTTTTTTATTCGATCTCCGAAACCGCTAGACCTGCTTTCCCAAAAATGTAATCAGTTCTTCCAATTTCGTCAATAAAGAAAAAGGATTTTGAATCATTCAAATCGATTGATCCGTGTTCTCGAAATCGCCGACGAAAAATTGTATCCGCACATACTTGCACACACATACATAATTTTTTTTTCTAAGATATGCCAAAATGTCGACAAACCTTTGAATCGTAAAGATATGCAAAAAATTTAATTTTCAATTTTTTTTGAGAAAAATATCTTACCCTACGAAAAGTTAACAATTAACCGAAACGTAAAACTTTTCATTAAAAATTTTATTATGATATATTATACATTCACATTTGTGCATACACATTTATATATTAGTTAATGGAAGGAGTTTGTATTTGCCAGAAAATGAGATTTGCTAATTTTATGTTTTCACGACGTTTTAAGTGTGAGACCGAATTTGGAAAAAAAGTATCTATGTGCATATGAAAGCCGATTTTTGACCGTTTTCTCAAAAACGTAACGGAACGGCTGAACCGATTTCAAAAATTTAAAAGCCATTTAAAGAAACTCCAGGAGGACGAGCGTTTATCTGTTTTGCGAGACGATCGGTCGAGCTCTTTCTTCAAAAACAGCAGAATGGTGCAAACATTTTTGTCCACGTTTTCGAAAATAATATGGACCGATCTTCAAATTTACAAAAATAATAATTTTAAATCGTATTGATGTTTCGGAAAATGTGTGCAAGTTGTCTCACGGCAAAGTACTTCTTGCATCTAGCTTATTTATTATTATAATCATAATTATACCTACTATTAAATTATTGAATCTATATTTTTCTATAATATAGAGTTACATTGTTATTTCCAATACAATATTTAACAAGAGGCACGCGTAATGTATTTCAAATTGTTGAAGGATTTATATATATTTTTTAATTCTCTCGTATAAAATTTCCTAGTAAACCGTTTATTAGCCCTTATTCTATTATGTTATTGTATTACATATTGAAATGATATTCGATCTAATATATACATAAAAGACACGCGATACTAAAAGCATCAATATAGGATATTAAAAAAGCATTCAAATTATCTAGAAAAATCAACGGAGATGAAAGTTTATCGATTTTTTCATATTTTTTTTATAATTGATATAGCATTCTATTCAATATTTTGCATTATATTTATTTTTACATATTTTTTTCTTTTTTATCTTAATCTATTTAATGTTTTACATTATATATGTTTTTACTAAGGAGGTGCCGACTCGAAAATTTATTGATTCATATGATTTGAATCATTCGAACCATGAATCGACTCATCTCGAATCGAGCATGGATAAATAAAAGCTAAGACAATGCAAGTTTACAATAGTAGATAATCAAACAATATAAAACAATAAATTGAATTTTGGGTCTACTGATATCATGTTTATTTTATTTTATTAACGAACAATGACGCTGCTGTGTCTGTTCTCTACGCATATGCTCAGAAATTCAATTATTAAATTATTAAATACCTTGCAAGCGAGTAAGGTCCATTAATCACGTGAACGCTTTTTTAGAAATTTTTGGACCTTTCTATTGGTGATACGTGGTGATATTTAAACTTACACCCCCCCCTTTCCCACGAAACATCACGTGTATTTTCAGTTACGAGAAAACAATCGTATGATTTTTGATTTTTTCTTAAAAAAATGCTTGGATTTTTTTAAAAATTCATGTAAGAAGTAAATACACGAGATATTTCACTAAACCTCCCTCCCCCACGTGATATTTCGTGATTTTTGGTCAAACCCCCTCTTCTCCTGAAAGCCTCACGTGATTAATGGACGTTTCCTAACTCGAATGATTCGATTAAATTCGAATCGTGTGAGTAACTCGAATGATTTGATTCAATTCGAATCGTGCGAGTAACTCAATAAATCCTTTCAACTCGATTCGTGCGAGTAACTCGAATGATTCGATTCAATTCGAATCGTGCGAGTAACTCGAATGATTGGATTCAATTTGAATCGTGCGAGTAACGCATCAATTCAATATCATGATTCTATTCAATTCGGGTGGTTCGCATAATTTCATTCCTCTTTTCGTTTTCATATGTATGATTT